CCTCCCTGGAGATGTTTCCAAACACACGTGCTCGTCCTGACCCATGCAACCAAATGACCACGCACACGCAAAGACACGCGGAAACGCATGTGTGTGCACCTCCCCGTGTACACACGAGCACGCACACTCATGCAAGCTCACAAACACGTGAGCACACACGTGTACACACGCCTCGAACGGCCTGAGCTCCTTCCTGCAGAGCCGGCTTGCAGGTCTTCCGTCCATGCGAACATGTGCTTCCTTCACGTGACTGACAGAGGACGTGAAATACGCAAATGATCAGTAGAGTCAAGTTTCTCACTGTGTAGCTGGTATTTTATTTTACTTTATTGAGCCTATTCAAATTCACGTTTTCCTTGTTCGTTGACAATCTATCTGTTTCTGCATCACATTTCATCATAGGAACCTACGTATTTTGTTAACGATTCTCTCGTTAGACGCTCCAGGTTGTTTCTGGGTCTTAAATATTAGCAATAACTCTGCGTTGCACGTGCTCGCTGGTTAGTCCTTGTCCGCACGCCCGAGGAAGGGCCGCTGCAGCAGAAATCTGGGTCAAAGGGTGCCAGTCACCAGAGCCCCTGCCCCGCCAGGGCTGGGCCTGGAGGTCCCGGAGCGGGCCGTGGCCTTCCCGGCCTGAGGAGGCCCCCGCGAGCTCTCTCCCGCTGAGCTGTAGTCCACACCTTGCGTCGTTGGAAAAGCAAATCTCTAACTTGAATCGTTTCTCCTTTGCCTCTTTCCCAAGGGTGTGACCCCCCCCACCTCCCGCTGTAGTCCGCTGCCTCGGCGGGCCCCTCGGAAGCCCCACGTGGGCCACTGCAGCCCGCAGCAGGCAGGGAGCACCCCAGAGGAGCCCCACTTTCGTCTCAGGAGGAGAGGCGGGTCCCATCAGCCCTCTGGGTTCACGAAGGGGCCGCATGCGTGCTTCTCCCGGCTTTCGGCCCACCCACCAGAGGGTTCCCCCCGCGTGACTCCAGCCCAGGCCCTTCTGGCAGAGGCGAGGGGGCCCGGTGGGGAAGAGCCTGCACCTCTGCCTCGCTCTCTCACTTGGCACCCGGCACGTGACACCACACAGCTCACAGTGGTTGGAGGGTTAGCTCTAATGGTTAGTAAAATCTGAGCAAAATGTCAGGGGAGGGCCAGAGGCCATGCTCCTTAAACGTCCCCATTGCTGCTGCTGTCCTGGTGGGTGCCGGTCAAGAGGAGGCCCAGCTGAACAAAGGCGACCCAGCTGGTGGGCTCACCTGTCCTCCTGGGGGGCGGGGCCACCGTCTACCTGGTGGCTGCCTGTACACACCTCACCCCTCCCAGGCACCTGGGAGGGGACGGATTGCTCCTGGCCCACTCACGCCAAGGAAGTGGGGGACATGCACAGAACTGGGTCTCCTTGGTACGTCCTGGCCGACACTGGGGTGCCCGGCGGTCCCTTCTCTGGGAAGTAGGAACAAGACCAGCCAGGAGCAGAAGCAGGAGATGCGGGGTGCACTGGAGAAGCTAAGGAGTGTGGTAGGTGTGAAGTAAGCTGTCCGCCCCGGAGGTGGGTCCCCAGGCCTCCTGGGACCCCAGCCCCAGCCGCCCACGCAAGCCGTGCATGCACTGCTGCCAGTGTCCAGTGGAGGGCAGTAAGGAGTCTTGGTCGCATGCCGCTGTTACAATAGCCCAAGTCCAGCATGTGGAAGGGGACACTCCCCGCTCTGCTGGTGGCAGGAGGCGTGGGGCGCGTCTGGGATGAGGTGCAGAGATTATGGAGTCATTGGAGCTGGGGTCCAGAGGGAAGGTGGGCACGGGTCAGTGGTGGGGTCTAGACGGTTAATTCAGGACTGGCACTGACGTCCAGGAGGAGGCCGGGGTGACCTTGACAATGACAACAGACAGTCCTGGGGGGGGAAGGAGGGTTCTGGCTGGTGGCTGAAGGGGACTTAGGGACTGAAGCCCCTACGGGGTAGAGAGGAAGGCCCCAGAGTGCCTGGCGGTCTCAGACGGTCTTGACAAAGAAAGGCGTAGGTGGCCTGGCCCCAGCTCAGGGGGCCAGAGGGCCCAAGCGTGTCACCGCAGGGCGCTGGTGACTTGAGATACTGGGAACGCCTGCTCCGCGTGGGCGAGGTCTGGCTTTATAACCTCGAAATGCCAGGCGTCCTGGAAAGTCACCCACGGTGGCCGGTCAGAGAGTACATGTGAGACAAAGCCAGCTGGAGGGGACCCGGGGGCCACGACCATGAGAGGGTGAAGGGCGAGGGGCTGGCGGGTGGGGTCAGGGCGGACCCACGGCCCCGGCTGAAGCACTCGTTCCCGAGTGAGCCTGAGTGGCCGTCAGTGCCTCCGTCTCCCCGCCTGCCTATCATGAAGACCCTGTGACAAGCCCCGTGCACAGGGATCCGAGCGCGTCTGCCTTCTGACAGCCAGACGAGCAGGCGGGGGTGGCCGGTGGGGCACTCAGGACAGCGGCCTGCGATGCCCTCAGCTGCCCACTACGCCCTGAAGCCCCTGTCCTCCAAGCCCAAGCTCAGCAAGAGCCCCAAGGTCATGTGCACCCAGGGTCTGCGGGGTGGCAGGCACCCCATTGTAGGTAGGACCTTTCCTTTGGGGGACTATGTCTAGCTTTTCACTTAAATATACGGACATTGATTTGTCCGCCGAACACAAGTGAGAAACCGTTAAGCGTTTGCCACAGCGTCGTTGAGAGCGGGACACCTCGCCGGCACACTCAGGGCCGGCCCCGCGGCTCCCTTCCCCGCACCTCCCTTCCCCGCACCTCGCCCGCACACTCAGGGCCGGCCCCGCGGCTCCCTTCCCCGGAGCGTGCCGACCGCCTAGACCGGGCGCTGAGCTGACAGCTGTGACACGCACAAAGGGATGCGTGACAGCAGCTGCGACTCGCTTCCTAGACCACGTCACAAACACGCTGGAGTGCGGCACAGCCACCGAACGTCGGAGAAGACTTATCAGATTAAGAAGTGGCTTGCAGACCTATCTGCAGAGCGTGACCCTGTTTTCGTTTTTGGCGGGGGAGGTCGGGGTTCATATACGGGACTCCAGGTGGAGGGGGGCTCACCGCGCGGCAGAACCAGGGGCCGTTAACACGTTCTCCCGACTCCTCATCTGCATTTTCACATTCCCCCGCAACCTATGTTACTGTTCGCTTAATAAGAAGAAACAATAATGCTACCTTTCTTTATTGTGGGAAATCACCATGAGGATGTCAATAAGCAGGTCCTGGAGATGAAGAGCAAACCAGCTTCGTGGGTGCCCGATTACGTCGTGGCATTTCTCCAGACGGACACCCAGGCGATCGAGGAAGGACAGGCACCTCCCCCCAGGAGGAACTGTTCAGACATGTTTCCTTTGGCTCACACAGGTGACACATCTTTCCAAAATCGACGGCGACATTGCTCAGACCACCCTGGACATCACGAACACCAGCTGCAGGCTGAGCATGTACCAGAAGATGCTGGGCGAGCTGGACAAGGAAGCGAAAAAAGTCAACGACCTCATCACCAACAGCGAAAGCGAGATCTCCAGGCGCATGGCCCTGATCGAGAGGAAGCAAGGCCTCATCAACTTCCTCAACAAGCAGCTGGAGCAGATGCTGTCCGAGCTGGGGGTGGGGCCGCAGGGAACGGCCCACGTTTAGAGATGACCCCTCACAGAACACGGTCCCTCCCTCCCTACCCGTTTCTCAGGGGTCATTGGACGTGTGCGGGATGCTCTAAGCAAGGGCCAGATAGTAAATATTTCAGGCGTTCCCGGCCAGGTGTCCTCTCGCCCCTGCTCTGTGGGGACAGGAGCCACAGGCGAGCAGTAGTCAGACGGGGGTGGCCGTGTCCAATAACAGCTTATTTATGGCCACTGAAATTTGAATTCCATACGCCTTTCACCTGGCACAAAAATCTTTTTCTTTCTGATTTTTTTGTATGGCCCGTGGGCCACACACACACAGGCAGCTGGTGGGATCAGACCCGCTGACCGCTGCTGACTATGCTCTAAGACATGCAGTCTCATGGGTTTGAGGCTTGAGGTAGGCCGTCCAGGTGTCCCTCACCTGGGGACCCCACTACACGCCTCAAGTCCCAGAGGAGACGGCGGCGAGCTCTCAGTTTGGCCCCACCACCGGGGGGCCTCTCGGAGGCACACCCGAGTGGATTCTAGGGGTGCGGGGAGGACCCTGACCTGTGACAGCCGTTACAGCACAACTTGCAAAGCCCCTTTGGGTAAGGGAGTCCTCACCGATCTGCACCTGTCCCCCCCACAAAGCCGAGGCGTGGTGGGGCTGCAGACCCCCTGAGACCCGTATCTCCCACGGCGGGTCAGGGGCATGCGGCCGGCGCCCTCAGGTGAGGGTCCCCATGGACGGAGCCCGGGCCCTGCGAGTAAACACCCCACCGTCACGCAGATACAGGATCTCAGGGGTTCCGGACCCCGGCAGCGCCCCCAGAAAGCCAGCCTTTGACGACGAGGAGGCTCATTTTGCTTTCCGGCAAATTTCCCTCCCAGGGGGAAGAGTTGGGACCGCTGGAGCTTGAGATCAAGCGGCTGAGCAGGCTGCTGGACGAGCATGGCACGGCCGTGTCGCAGGCCCAGGTGAGCTGGCTCCGCCTGCAGCAGGAGATGGTCAAGGCCACGCAGGAGCGCGAGGAGCAGCTGGCCGCCCTGAACATGTTCAAGAAAGAGGTCCAGATCCTGGAGCAGAAGAAGCTGCGGATAGAGAGTAAGTGCCCGTGCCCCGCGTCACGGGGACCGCGAGCCGCCCTGGCCGGTTCTCACGAAGCGGTAGCAGGAGCCGGTGGCCGCACTCACGGCGCGGTTCGTGACTACGAGCCGTGGCCCTGACCGCGGGCGGTTCACAGTCCCAGGGACGGAAGCGTTGAGAAAATGTACTGAGTTTGTGAAGCTCACGGACCGGGCGCTACCAGAGAGGGGGCCACGCAAGGGTCCCCTCCTGCCCAAGGCGGGAGGCACAGCTGATGCCGCCAAGATGCAGCGACACGTCATGCCCCATTTCTTCCCAGCCGTCCTGCTGCTGCCTGTCCCACCTTTGGGGGGCCCAAACCGCCTGCTGGAGACTTGGCGCGGGCGGCGTTGTGGGGGGGGCAGGCCCCCTCTTCCTGCAGACTCAGTGTCCGAGCAGGGGGTCCGTGTTCGCGGGGGTGAGGGCGCTTGCCCTCCGTGATCACGCCCCCCACCCGCAGGTCACCCCGCAGCCCCCTTCTTTCTGTCCCTCCAGGGACCAGGCTTCAGAAACCAAGAGCTGGGGAGGGGCCCCTCCTCCTCCTTTGGCGCGGGAGGGACGCGATCCGGTGGGGGCGCCCGGAGGACGAGAGCGGGAGGGGGCCTGGCCCCCG